TACTTTATGCACTTACTTTTGTATGGTGGTCTTTTCCACAGGTCAATCGGGTGATGGGCGCACGTCGCTGAATGATCGTTTCGGTTATTAAAAAGTTACATGTCTGAAAGTCGTCTCAAGTGATGATGCTCGAGGATATTGTGCAGGGTTCACTTGGCTGAGGTTTTATCGGATTACATTTTACCACACTTGTGATTGTATGAAGAGAGTTAGTGTAAGTTATTTTGGTAGAAGATGCATGTGCCTGTTTCCTTTAATCCTGATCTCTGATCTCTGATATGACTTGTAGGGCTACTTGGTGCTTTACTGATGTACAATTAGTGAATGACTGTTGAAATGTATGCCAGTTGTGAATCAGCTTCCATGGCAAACATGTAATCTTATGAAGAGCAGTCATAATTTTGTATATTTTTCATTTTAATTCCTACATAGGGATAAACGCCAATTGGATTTTAAGGGCAAAGATTCTTCTTACCTTTTCTGTTCTTTATGTCCCTTCTTTGTCAAGGTTGTGAAAAATTTAGAAAACAATAATTACACAAAAATTCAACCAATGCCTGACTTTTGAGTTAATCCACAGCACTCAAGCAATTATCCTGTTTATTTGCTTAATTTTCACTTCTAAGTTTGTTGATTGGCTGAATGTCAAACAAAATAAAGAGCTATAACAGCATACGTAAGAACAAATGGTACCATCAATTATTATTTTTGAAAATTTTTCACTATTGTAATGATTCACTATTCCAATTAAGGTAATACATACACAAAATGGACAACTATCTTCACTCGTTTGTCCACGTTAAAAGTTGATGATTTGCCATCGACTATTTTTTACTATTGATCTAATAATTTCCCTTTGCTTTGCTGTGAGTTTAAGTATAAATGAAATACGAAATATCTTCCTGCCAAATTTGACGTAGTGAGTTGTCCGCAAGCAGGCCTTTAATCAGATGTCAAAAAGTATGCGATGCTGAGTTTTCTTTCTAAAATCATCATTATCATACATTTGTCACCTCACAAATGTTTTGTCAGGCCACCCAACTTTAGGCGTGTCAATCTGTCATATTTTTCTACTAAAAGCGCATAAAACATGCTTTGAAATGGGGCTATCACGATTATTACCGAAATATCCTAAGTTACCTATTGATCATCATCGCAGTTCAGACCAAATAAGGAATTACTAAATTTGCCCCTTCCTCACTGAATGATTTCCGGAAAGGACTCGGTTAACTCCACAATTTAGGTACAAAGCCAATTGGCATCAATGGCACAAAGTCCCAGCACGCCTTCACATTTAGAGTCGACAGATGGAGGTGCCAAAGCATGGAAACATGGTGTAATATTAACTATAGTATTTTATTGACACCCTCGAGTGCCAAAAAAAAAAAAACTATCACAAAATCCGCACTTGTTTCATGATCATCAGCTTCAATGTAACATGGGAGAACATTTTAATAACGCAACAAGCTCATGAAGAACATCGATCGTATATTGAGTAGGTTCGAAGGAATTAAAATGAGTTATAACAACTTCTGTCGAAACCCCCAAACACGGATTCAAAAACAAACGATGAATACATTATTAATTACCTGCAGCCCAGCCAAGCTAAATCTAAAACGAGATAAACAGCAGAAAATATCTAAAAGCTATTTGCACTGACCTCCCCTTCATCCTCAGACCTTAGTTCCCACAGGTTTGAAACAATCAATATTGCACAAAACAGCCGATCTCATCATATCTCCGAAGCTGCCATAATTCAATTCACAAAGAGTCAAGAAAACATTTTTCAACTCTTACAAAATAAGTCATACTATGAGAACAAAAACAAAACAAATTATCTATAGACATACTAATATCTTTGGATTTATGTATATACGCCTGGAAAAAATAGAAAAAAAGAAGAAGCTATATTAAGCATCAAGTTGAGGCCAACCGGTCTATGCTGTTCCTAGCTCTCTCTGGCTGTTCTGGAATATTATTTGCCTTGTCAGCATAATCCACACTCTTTCGTGATCTCTCTCTCTTGTCAGTGCTTGCTCTTGATTTTTCCCTCCGGTCTATGCTGCCTCTAGGATTCTCTCTGTAATCTGTGCTCGATCTCGACTTTTCTCTCTGGTCTGTGCTTTCTCTTGGCCGGCCATCCATGATGTTTTGAGCATTGTACATGTCGTCTGTTGACGTTGCAGATCCATTTCTCACATGGCCTGATTTCTCGATAGCTAATACGAACTTCTTAAGATGCTTAATATATTCTGGATAAAGCTCGAGGTCACAGTGATTGCCACCTTTGACCCATAAAGGCTCGTATTTTTCTTTACAGAGCTCCCAAAGCTGCTTACCGTGAGAACAATCTACCACGTCGTCATCAGTACCCTTTTAAATCATCAAATTAGAAAGTGCATGTCAGAAGATGCTTGCTCAACAGATAAACACAGATCTATCTATAGAAGCACAAAAAGGGTATATGCTGCACACATTCAATTTCTAGGCTGTATGAGTAGCTAAATTCAAAATGTGATACATTGAAATTTAATGTAATCTAAACGCATTGAATTTATTCTAAGCTATTAAGAGCCATGATGTGCAAAAACATCATAACCAAGAAAATATATGTAACACCACCATATTCTACAGAATGGATGAGATAATCACTTACATGAATAACCAATACAGGGCACTGAACCAAAGGAATTTTGTCAATATTCTGCATCACACAAAATCCAGCTAGACATTAATTGGATGAAAATTTTGATTATACAACAAACATGTAGGACCAAAACAACAGAAGAGAGGGGTGTGTACTTGTAGGTTATTGAATTACCTTATAAATATCGAACCAATATGTTCGCTTAACAGGATACATAACTCTAAGTCCAGACAGGATTGGGCTGTGCAGAACCACAGCCCTTAATCTTGGCAAACGGGATGCCAGGTCCAAAGTAGGCCCACTCCCGACAGACTGTCCATACAATATTACATCTTCTTCTTTCACTCCGTAATTCTCTTGAAGGCACTCATATGCAGCTTCAATGTCCGCATAGGTGTTCAATTCGGTCGGCTGGAGAAATAATAAGAGATGCAAAAATAAGGGATTTAGAATATTACACAGTTCCTGAAAGCTAGAAAGCTCCGGTCTTTTCTCATACCTTGCCCGTGGACTGTCCATACCCTGAGTAGTCATACCTGAAGAAATGGGAAAAAATGCATAAGCTCTCAGACTTCATTCGCATCATTTTGTGAGTCTCAACTAATTTTATTGCCTAAAATGTGAGGTTAAACTTACTCGGTTAATAAAAGATCTCTAAAGAAACCTGAACACTATTGTACTTGTGAACATCAGATATACAAGATCTTAACATCAGGTATACACATTCTCCCTGTCACTCAAAGATTTTGAGACTCAATGTGTAGGAGGACATGATCTGTTCCAATTCAAATTACATATAAATCTGTGTCACTTCAACAAATACAGTGATCACAATTAACTGCACTGCAATGAAAGATCTGTCAGCAAAAAAGTTTGTATGCTTCTAACTTGGAACAAAATATTCACATCGACTAAATCACTTCAGAAATCAGAATCAACAGCTCCACACCCACTAAAAACGGCATCCACAATATTTCACCTATTCATCTACCAAAAATTCCATCCTCACAAACTACATAATCCGAAAATCTAAAACGAGGAAAGGGTAAAGCATTGCTAAAATCTGTGGTTTTTATCAGAATCGTACCCCAACAAGTTGACCCGGAGGTGGATGCTCAGCTCAGTGAATAGATCATACATCTGCCCCAGATCAGCCGCGTTGCCGTGCGAGTACAAAAGCGTCAGCTTGGCCCCAGGATTCTTCACGTACACCCCCACGATCTCCGTTCCCCTCTTCGTCTTCACCCTCAGCACGTCCACATTCTCGTGCTCCGCCACCTCCGTCAGTCTCAGCTTCCCCGTCCCCTCCTCCACCGACACGCCGTACGACGGCGGGTTCGGCGGAAAAAAGGCAAACTTCGCCGCCATCGACGACGTCACCGCCCCCATCTCGACCCCGAACGAGGGAATTCAGCAAATGCACGGCAAGGAGAAAAAGGGAAACGCAAATCGAAACTAAAAACAACAACAAAAAGAAAAACTCCCCTTCTCCGATTATAAATATCGATACAAATGCTTAATTGCACAAAATTCGAATTGCTGGCGTTACGAATTGATGGGGTCAATCCAATCTAACGCATGAATAAGGGAATCTGGGGTTTCAATTATTGAATCTATAGATGCACAAAAAAAAAGAAAGAAAGAAAAAGAAAAAGAAAAAAAAAAAAAAGCTGTGTGCTTGTTTGTGTGTGTTTTTGAATTGAAGATGGAAAGGGGGAGACTAAAGAGGAGGGATTTCCGGCGTTATAGTGAATGGTGGCACGTGCGACTTCCAATTAGGGGTGTAATTAAGTAGAGTTACATCTCGGCTAATTAGCTCGAATTTAGATAGGTTTATTAATTTAACGAATTGAAGTCGAACTTTAACAAATAATTACATAAAACGTTTTTATTTCAAGTCTTTTACTAACGAAGTTTGACAACGAGCTCGAGTTCGATTTGTTTTGGGGATCATTATAGTTATACCCTGTGCGTCGAACTTAAGTTGGTGTAAGAAGAACGATTTAAAGTATAATAATTAATAAATAATAATGGTATAGTAAGAATGTAAGATTACTATTGTCTAGTCTATATATATATATATATATATATATATAATTAGTAGCTAATAACATTTAAAAAAACATATTTAATAAAACCTCTAAAATTTTTTCTCCATTTTCGGTTACAAAATTTATCATTAATGTTTTTTACTTCTCACATTAATACATCCTATTGAGTGTAATCATGTATTTGTCTATTATATTATATTATAATTAATACTAATACCAACTAATAATAATTCACAATAAATATAAATTGTATAATTATAAATAATTGTTTCAAGTTATTTATTTTAACATTAATATTATCTTTTTCTTTTGTATCTCATGAATTTTTTTTTTTTTAAAATAATTAGTAAATTATTTTAATACCATAGTCAAACAACTTTAGAATCTTATAAACAATTGTTTCTGTAATAATAATAATAATCAAATTGCTATTATCTAATGATAATAAACAATTGTTCATAATAATAAACAATTATTAATTTATTCTTAATAATTAAATTTAAAAAATGTAATATGTTCATTATCTAAAATTTTAATATTAAATGTTTAAATATTACTTATAATATTTTATATACATCTGTGCATGTGCACAGGATATTACTAGTTTAAAAGTTAGACAATCATACTTGTTTCATAAATGTAAATACTTTTAAATTAAAATATTATTTTATAAACGATAATTTAAATAAAAATATAATATTTTATATCGACATGACTATAAGTCCCTTATACAAGAATTTGTGATAATTATATGCAAAGCCAATGAGGCCAGAGCATGCTTGGATACAAGATTTCTCAAAAAAATCTAATCATTTTTAACTAATTATTATTTTTTTTAACTCAAATTTAACTTAATTTTAACTCAACCCCACCATATTCAATATTATAAAGAAATAATTATTACACATTACATCAACTTTAGTTCACTATTCAATATTCATCCAACTCATAAAATTTTAACTAACTATCATATATCTCATACTTTAACATCAAATCTATTTTAATTATTTTATTTTAATTATTATGATAATATAAACTCAAAATCTCATGAATAATTAATTATATCATATTTCTCAAAACTAACCAAACAAAATAATAAAAAAAATATATATCCAAGCATCCTCAAATTTATAGCACAAGGTTTTGGTGCAACTGTATGTAATGATTGATACCAACAAGAGCCTTTCTGAGTATTGTTTTGTTTGGCCCGTTGCAGATCATTTTGTACACAATTTTGACTTTTCTATTTCATTTCAAAGGCACTGATAAGATTTTTGCCCCTTTTCTTTGTTCTTTCCGCAATGATAAATGACTCTTAAATGGTGATAGTACTTGATAGATGGCTGTCCAATATAGTCCTATTATTCAAACGGATCCAATTGCAAATATATCTTGATCCGACTGATATAGGGGTTTGATTAGATATGGATTTCATTGATTTTTTATTAGTTATTTTATTAGTTATAGTTAGCAGTTTTGCAAGTCAATAGTTGGCTCCAGAGTCAACTTTTTATATACAACAACTAAATAATATCATATTCTATAATTACTTAAAAAAATACTAATAATTTTATAAATATAGTATAATTTACTTGTTGTATATAGAAGGTTGACTTCATTATGGAGCTTTTCATAGCAAAACTGGTAAGTTAATTTTAAAAAAATGCTATGATTAATTGTTAGTGAAAATTAAATTTCAATTAAAATAATATTTGAAATAAAATAATAAAAATTGATTTGATGTAAAAATATGAGAGAGATGACTTAAAGTGATTGTTAGTTAAAATTATGTGAGTCAAGTGAATTAAAGTCGAATTAATTATTAACTGATATTATTTAGTAATAATAATATTGATGATAATGAAATTGAGTTAAAATAAAATTTTGATTATTTTTTTAAAAATTGAATTTATATTGAATCACACTCTAAAAGTTAAAGCCAATTTGTTTTGAAACGAGTTGAACTTGAACTATTAATTTAGCTTGTTTATTAAGATAAATAAATCAAGTCAAATTTGTTTGCAATTCACTTATTATTATTATTATTATTTTTTTTTCTCTGTTTTTATGAATTTTAGATAGTCAGTCGAATCGATTTTTTTATTAACATGCTTTTAATAAATATTAATTAATATTGTTTCATATTTTTAAATAATATATTAAAGAAGCTTCAATATTACTAAAATTAATAAAAAAATCAAATAAAGTCAAAAGGAGACCCATGAAAAATAAACAAAATATGTTGAAAATTTATTGCAGGCGGCAGGCCTACAATTCTTACCCAATCTTTAATCATATTTTTGCTCCATCTGTACTCATCTCTTTTCTCAATTTTTTATTATTATTATTATGATTATTATCGAGAAAAAAAACTCGTCATCGTCTTCTCCACAAGCAAAAGGCAATTAATAAAAAAAGAAAAAAAAAAAAAATACAAATCTACACTGTATTGCGAGTGCGAATGTGCGATTCACCTAACAGAAAGAAGAACTTCCAATCTCAAGAGAAAGAGTGAAAAAGGGATTTGCAGAGAACAAAGACCTTCAAGGATCTAGGGTTTTGATTTGCTGATGAAAAGGGGTTTTTGTATTTACGTTTTTTCTTTCTTTTTTGCCTTTGTGATCGTGTGCCTATTCTAGCTGAATAGATTTGCTGTGCTGAGCTCTGACGTTGGGATTATCGTCGACCTACTAAAATGAGGTAGCGAACATCTTTAAATTCTTAGCTACAGTGTGCATTTACTTCGCGTCTTTCTTTTTTTGCTTGTCTGGGTGTGATTTTGCATCAAAGACTGTATTTTTATTCTTCTCAGATGGATTTTGTTGTTTATATGTACCATTTGACTTGGATCTTGGTTAAGGAGAAGTTGCAATTTTTGAGCTGAACGTATCACCAAAATCTGCCCATTTGGTTGTTATGATTTTTCAATGTTAGGTCTATGAGCTGGAGTTTATTTATCCTGCTTGCTCTATCTATACGTTGAGGGTTTCTGATCCAGAATCTGATAAGCCCTAGACATAGTCCATTGTGTCGAAATAGAAAAATTCTCCGGAGTTTTCGAGTTTCAGCCACCAATTTTGGAACCCCTAATCATATCAAATGTACAAATTCAAGAATTAAAACATTTTTTTTTTTCTTGAGATGGGGGAAGCTTCCGAATCCGTGTCTAGAACATCCAATTCCATACAAGAGAGAAGCAATTCTTTCCAAGAAGACGAAGTTCTTCACCGGCAGGCAAGTTTCGGGACTTGCCGATCTAGAAACACTAGCCCCCTCCCATCCAGGAACACCAGCCCTCTCAGTCGAATGGGCTCAAGAAACACGAGCCCATCCAAGCAAAAATCCATCAAAACCAAACCGCGCGGTTTAGACGAAGAGACCGTAACAACATTCATCAGAACAGCCCAGCCCGATATCCAGATGGAAGACAACATATGGGCCATGCTCCCTGAAGACCTTCTGAACGAAATCCTTGCTCGGGTCCCACCGTTCATGATATTCAGACTCCGTTCGGTTTGCAAGAGATGGAACTCGATCCTCCAAGACAACAGCTTCTTGAAATTCCACTCTCAAGTGCCCTCACACGGCCCTTGCCTCTTAACCTACTGGAAAAACGCCCAAACCCCTCAATGCTCCGTATTTAGCCTCCCTTTAAAGCAGTGGTTTAGAATCCCATTCACATTCCTACCCCAATGGGCTTTCTGGCTCGTGGGCTCGTCTTGCGGGCTCGTCTGCTTCTCGGGCCTCGACTCTTCCACTTTCAAGATCTTAATATGCAACCCGTTGACCCAAACCTGGAGGACTCTACCCAGCATGCATTACAACCAACAGAGACAGCTGATCATGGCCGTCGATCGCAAGGACCGGTCGTTTAAAGTGATTGCAGCCAGCGATATTTACGGGGACCGTTCCCTTCCAACCGAAGTTTACGAATCGAAGCTCGACAGGTGGCTGGTCCACGAGACGATGCCAGCTGTCAACGTCTGCTCGTCCAAGATGGCGTTTTGCGACTCGAGGCTTTACCTTGAAACTCTCTCCCCACTCGGCCTCATGATGTACGGGCTCGACTCTGGGCAGTGGGAGCACATACCTGCGAAATTCCCGCGCTCTTTGCTGGACGGGTACCTCATAGCTGGGGCCCACAGGAGGCTGTTCTTGGTCGGGAGGATTGGGGTTTATAGCACGCTGCAGAGCATGAGGATATGGGAGCTTGACCACGGTAAGTTTGTGTGGGGGGAGGTGAGCAGGATGCCGCCTAGGTATTTCCGAGCGCTCTTGAGGCTTTCGGCAGAGAGGTTCGAGTGCTTTGGGCAGGACAATTTGATCTGCTTCACGTCTTGGAATCAGGGTAAAGGGCTGCTGTATGACGTGGACAAAAAGGTGTGGTCTTGGATAGCCGGGTGTGCACTTCAGTCTCACAACAGCCAGATGTGTTTCTATGAGCCGAGGTTTGATGCAGTGGTGTGATGATGGAATGGAATTCGGGTGGGGCCCACCTTTGCGGCGTTTCTTGTTTGAGTAGTTTGGGTTAGTAACAAAGAATTCCCCTTGAGATTTGGTTTAATTTTTTTGTAT